TTAGGGAAAATAAAAAAGAAAGACCTGAGTTTAAATCTCAGTGTTGCCAGTTGCTGACTATGTGACTTATATAAGTCATTTAGCCTCTCTGAACCAGTTTTCTCATGTACAAAACAGAATAGGCATATTGGAAGTGAAATAATGGAAATGGGAAATGGAATATAAAATTTATAGCTTTGTATAGTACTTATTGTTGTAATTATCTACCTTATATCCATTCTTTAGGAGCTGCCCTGCCCACCCTTCCATCTAAGTTAGTTTCTGCGGCTGTTAGTCACATGTTCTTACATGAACATTGTCAAGGCTGGCAAAGTGCAGTACACCATACCCCTAGACACAATTACCCAACCAAGAACAGAACCCTTATGGCACATTGATACGTCTCTGTGGTAGTTAAGTTGTGTGTCAGCTTGGCTGGGCCTAGTTTTAAGTAGCTAGGTGGCTGGATATAGTTGATGAGACATATGATGAGACTGGTAATCAACTCCACGGTGCAATCTACTGCAGCAGCTGAGTAGCTGTCTTAGATATATGATCTCCTTCCAGTATATAAGGAATTTTGAGAACGGTCTCTGAGCTTTTTGGCATGCTTGGACCCTGCATGTAGCCAAGTCTTCATTCAGCAACCTGCCATGTTGTCTGCTGATCTTGGGACTGTTCCTGGACTTGAACTAGTGGTCTACCATGTTGGTTGATAATCTTGGCACTGTGCCATTTTATTTGTCACCCTTGGGTTTGTCAGTCTTAGCAGCCAGCAGCTGCTTGAGTTAAGAGAAGCCTCCAGCTTCAGTGGGCCACAAGCAAGAGGCAGAGCTGAAGCCCAAGGTCAAGAGGCCTTCACCCAGTCTCTAGAGCTCGCACTTTGAACTCAGATTTCGAAGACTGGGCAATCTACTATCGTAGAGATACCACTTTGGAAACCTAAGGAGGGGTTGCTATGAGTTGAAATCGACTCAACAGCAGTGAGTTTGTTTGGTTTTAAACTATAAGAGATCTCTGGTGGCATAGTGCCTAAGGCATTTGACTGCTAAGCAGAAGGCTGGCGGTTCAAACCCACTAGGCACTCTTCAGAAGGAAATCTACTTCCATAAAAGTTTACTGCCTCAGAAACCCAAAGGGCATCACTATGAGTCAGAATCGACTTGATGGCAATGAGTTTGTTTTTTGGTAAATTGTAAGTGAATAAATCTCTGTTTGTTCAAGCCATCTATCTCTGGTATTTCTGTTAGAGCAG